CCTATTTGAAAATAACCAGTCGTTAAGTCTAAAGTCGTCATATATTTGGTGGATGTTATGTTCCTTAGAATTTCTTCAATAATAGGTAACGGATATACCGGATATTTAGTTATGGAGTTTAATTTACGATAGTCAATTGCGAATCGCCACCTTTTTGGATGTGTCAAATGGATAGTCATTATTTTTTCTTACATAAAACCACCGGGCTAGCATAACTACTTGAGATGGGCGTTATGATCTTTTTACGTAAGCATATCGGTGATATGCCATTCTATAATTTTTTCTTTATTCTTATCATACCGGTATGCTTTGTGGCGAACTGGCATTGAATCTCCGGTGTCAATACTATGGTTAGTAACCTGAGTAAATCCTGGAATATCACTAAATAACGAAGCAAATTCACTTACCACTTGTCGGATTCTTCGTTGCTCTTCATTAGGCAGGTGGTCAAGGTTTAACATCGGCGGTTCAGCCTTTTTTTCTTCACGAACTGGTTTCATGTCAGCTTAAGGGACGCTTCATTAAAATCCAGCGTTGCTTGTGCCTCTGAAAGAAAATCTATTCCTAAAAATAATATGTGCTTGCAGATTCTTTACTATGAAAAACATCACCTTTACTTGTTCGTCCTTGATACGGACATACAGCGGTAATTTACCTATACACTTACATCTTTCTCCTTGCGCAGCTAACACTGTCGTATTATCCAAATTATATATACGATATTTACGAAAATACTTCCTAAAAAAATCTTCTGCCACACAGGAACACTGCGCGCCTGTATCCAGGAGTGCGGTGGCTGGGATATTATTCACCAACACTTCAATCTTCGGAAGAGTCAAATTTTTCACCATTACTGTATTTAACTTGAAGGAAGAGGGGTTTTTTCTTGGCCTTCGGATTTCCGCACCCTCCCGTCAGCAGAAAATCCGTTTGAGTTTAAATTATTTTTCATTTCCGTGCTTTCCTTCTTTTTCCACTGGCCTTGAGACTTTTTTCCTGGATTGCTATTGAACTGTCGACGTTCGCCGGCTGTTTTTGAATGCTCGGGTTTCCTTGCCCACTGATTCGCTTTGCTTCCGTAGCCGTGTGCTTGAGTTTGCTGTAGTCTTGGCGCACCAAATTGGTTTCGCTGTTGATATTGGCGTCTTTCTTTCAATGTCCGCCGTTCTTCTACTTTCAAACTGGATTGCTAGCTTCAAATAACTTTTCCAGTGTAGTCGGATTCCTTAATTCAATAAAGTCTTGCACTTGGGGCAGTAACCTCGGCAAAATCACTTGAATTATCTCAGGATCCGGACGGTTTCCATACAAGAGTTTGAAGACGTGAATTTTTCTTAAAAAATAAAGCTTGAGAGATTTTCGATTCTTTGCTGATATATGCTGAAAAGTTCCGTTTCTAATTTCGCACGATCCCTTACGACAGGGAAGGCTTTTTACTAGGGCAGTCTTGAAATTTTCGTAAGTATAGGTGGGACTTCCTGCTTGACCCAAGAGACTTCTGCCTATACATTTGAACCAGGTAAGCGCTTGGCCCCTCAAAGCGCTGGTAGCTAAGGTAACTTTTTGAAATTCGTGCACGGGGTAGAGCATGAAGTGGTCATCCAATTTTTCCAAAAAACTGGTTAACGGTGAGTTTCCATTAAATGTTGCTTCTGGTTTCATCGAAGCGCGCATGGTCTGGACGATGTAACCAAATCCTTCCAGGGCGGCAGCTGGCATTTCTGGATTCTGAGCCGCTTCTGCAGGCAGCACAGGTTCTTCTTGAAACTCGGCCATGGTTATTCTTCTTCGTTGGGCGCCACTATCAGGTTCAATGTTCCGTCTTACTTTCTTCGGGAACATGCAAGGACCTGACTCGGAACAGAGAGCTTACTAAAGCTATGTTCAATAACTGTGGGAAGAGAGAAGTAGACAGGATACACGAGAAGGGTATACAAAAACCCTTTATTTTTTCTCTATTTACAATAATTTCCGTACTTCGGAATACAAAGACCCACTACTTGTGGTCTAAACGTAAGTAAGAATATAAAAATATAACTAAACTCTAACTTAACTTTGAAATAATAAACGTGGAAGATTGGCCTTATATTAACAGGAAGCCGTATGTAGTACAGAGAACTGTTAACACTACAATACGTTTAAAATTATCAAGAGGATTAAACCTCTGGCCTGGAAGGCAACCAGCAACCGAGTAAAATTTCTAAGGCAAGCAGCCTGCTTCGTCTGACTCCTTCCTCTCTCTCGCTTGGCAAAAAGCCACAACTTAAGTACTTGGCGTTCGCCAGACAAATTTTGCATAAATAAGTTAACGCTTTAAATTCTGGCCGGAAGTAGAAAATAAGAAGTGATAGTACTGCTTGTGCACCGTAGAAAAAAGGGAAAAGAAAATAGTTTGCTATAAATTAAGAATTTCGCTAAGTAAATTATTCTTGGCGCAAAGTGAAAAAAAATGCGCGAAGATAAGTTTTTGAATTTGAAGTCACGCTTTCGAGACATGAAAAATACGAATTTTGTCAATCGGCCCAGTAGAACGGGAGATACAGAATTGTCCCCTCCCCTTTCTTCTTTCTCTCTCTCTCTCTCTTCCCCCTCCCTCCCCGCAGTGTACCTCGCTATATTTCTAAGAAATATTCATTTTGAACTTCTCATAGTCTCTAACAGAGCAGAAAATAACAATGAATAAGAAGTTCAGAAATGAAATAGGTACCATCTTTAGAAGCGTCTCTTTTTATGCTGGGACCTCATTACACAAGTAGACCGAATCCTGATTTCAAGTGATGTATTAATTCATGATTTTCAGCATAATCATAATCTAATTAGTTATTCTACATTAGTAGAAGTCTATTAATTAATTAATTAATTAATTAATTATTCTACCTTAACTCCTTGTGTAACCAAGCTTTTCGATAAAATCACACTATTCTTATATGTGCAGTTAGAGTTCTTTTAAGACAGATAAGCAGACAGACGAAGTAGACAGATGTCTTGTTTTGCACCCATTAAGTCTTTCTGCACCGATGGGCGAAAATACAAGCTTAGGTTCGAAGAAAAGGTATATAGAAAGGGGGCTATTTCATATTTCAGAGGAGAGTAAAAAGGAATTTTGTGCGTTTATAGCGAGAAGAAAAGATGGGGCCAAATCAAATTAAAATAAACAATGAGAATTACGGACTAAAATAAAATAAAATAAAAGGGCCAAAAGTAATAGAGGAAGTGAGGAAAGGCCTATAGAAAGAAAAGAAAAAGCTCATTAGCGATCGCAGCGCCTTCATGGATAATAGAGTGTATATGTCAGACAGACAGACAAAGTAGACACATGTCTTTTGTTGCACCCGCTAAGTCTTTCTGCACCGATGGGCGAAAAATCAAGCATAGATGCGAAGGAAAGGTATATAGAAAGGGGGGCAATTTCGTATTTTAGACGAGAGTAAAAAGGAATTTAGTATATTTTATACGAGTTCGAAAAGCCAGGAAGAAAAGATGGGACAAAATAAAGTAAAAAATAAATGGCCCAAAAGTAATGGAGAGGAAAAAAAATGTATTTATAATTTAAAAAAAAAGGGCCTATAGAAAGAAAAGGAAAGGAAGTAAGAGAATTTTGTTAAAAAAAAAAAACCCACGATTGTGTTCATGAGTGTAGTCAAAGTTGTTATCATTTACATTAAATAGAGTCTTCCAGGTGTGTGTAATGAGTGTGTTTTGTAAAGCTGAATAGATGTAAAAATGGGGGAAAATTAATAATAAAATAATAAATATTGGGGGTCCAGTCACATAACAGTATAAGTCAAGTTTAAAAGCTAACTTTTGCTATAACAGGGAAACTAAAATTTAAAAATTTTTAAATTTAAACTTTTATTTTTTAACATGGAAATCAATATTAGCCTCTACCTTGAGGCACAGTAACAGAAGACACATAAGATCAAGATACATATAATATCATGCAAAGTTATACATTAAACTAAGTAACATCATCTATTGCGGTTTCCAACATATTTATATACTCAGAAAACACCATCAGATAAAATCATAAATCCAAAACAAGGCGAGAACATATCAACAAAAATAAATAAGTAAATAAATTACGGAGTTTTTTTTTAATATTAATTAATTTTTTTAAAAAAATAAGCATTTTATTTATTTTTTAAGTTAATGGTCATAATTTATTATATGTGTACTATTTTATCAATTTGAGGCACACTGTATTAATATATGCTTTTAATTTAAATAGATTAAAGGAGCAAAAACTACAACTCTATACATTCATTGAGGCCCGAGATCGTGTTTTTCCCTCTCGAGAAATTCCTCAAAGGGGCCCCAATGGGTAGGGCTAACACTACAGATAAGGGCTACTGATAAGGATAGCGTCCCTACGAGATGGTAACCAAAAAAGAATCACATGATTTAAAGCAATTATTATATTTATTATGTATTTAATGCCAGAACATAATAAAATGAGCATAATAATAATAATGATCATAATAAATAAATGAATTTAAAGGTACTTTAGTGACAGATATTTGATTTAGCTTAGAGAAAAGAAGTTCTACTTATCTGAACGCTCCGTCTTAATGCTGCAAAAGATTGCAAGGAAGACAAGACCCCCAGGTACAGAAGAACTCCCGGCCTTGAGAACGAGACAATGCAGAGGATATTCGCAAAAATTTTCTTAAATAAATGAAGATTTTCCGGAAAACACCTTTGAAAATTCAGGAGCTCTTCCAAGATCCTGCCTCCATCATACGTGATCACAGCGCCACCCCAGTGTATATGTCAATTTTTGTTCAATTTGTGAAAACTGTCACGGTTATGATCTCACTTGCTGTCATTTTGTGCTTGTATTTGAAATTATTTTGACTACAATATCAGTGCTGGTTTCTAAGATACGAAGCCTTGCATTATCGTAAATAAACATATTTCCTTTTAAATATGTGCCTTTATGTCTGTAAAAAGTTTTAATATTTTATTTTCATCTTAAATGTAAATTTTCGTTGTTTTTTCAGGCAATATATTTGGATTTTTAAATGGATTGGCTAATTTAGCTGTAAGATCTCTGATTTCGAAACTCGTCGATAAAGAAGAACTTGGTATGTATATTAAAATTTCATTAGCTCATATGTAAAGCCCTGTAAAATATATTTCACCTAGGTTACTCTTGTTCACATTATAAAGGCTTTTACCCGCCTCCTTCATCTTTTTACACATACTATAAAAATTAGATTACCATATAAGGAATTTTCCTCTATTTTCCACATACCATCGTGGTGTAACTGGACGCACACTCGACGCGTATTTGGGAGGTCCGGAGTTCGAATCCCGGAGAGAGCACTGCACATTTTTCAAGTCTCCGGCATCAAAAAACCAAATGATTCCAAATGCTAAGTGGCGCTCGAACGAAAAGGTATTGGACAATAATTCGTCACCACTAGGGTTTGGTGATTGGGTCACCTCATCCCCTGTCGCCCTTTAAAAGGGGGAGTATGTAAGCTGTTTTCTTCCTCCTTTCAGTATGCATTCGTGGTGTAATTTGAAGCATACACGACGCGTATTCGGGAGGTTTGGAGTTTGAATCCCGGCAAGGGCAATGCACATTTTTCACGTCTCCATATAAAAAACCTAATGAACGGTACAACCATCTACAACCCATGGTTTATTGAAAATGTAAACTGCATGTAGAAATGAGTATTGTAAGGATGCGTGACATGTTTGTAAAAACTGTGTGTACCTTCGGTCATGATAAGTGACTAACTAATGAGGATAATTACTAACACAACTAGAGATGCATCTAAATTCTTGCTTCTGTGCGTGTGCAACCTTTGACTTGAATTCAAAATGGCATTCGACTTCCTCAGAAATGTGGAAAATATATCTGACATTGCAAAGTCACTAGAAGGTGGTTCCCCCCCCCATGCTAGAGACTTGAAAAATGTGCAATGCTCTTGCCGGGACTCGAACCTGGACCTCTCAAATACACGCTGAGTGTGCTACTGTTACACCATTAAGGCATGCAAAAAAGAGGGAGAAAATACCTGATATATTACCCCATTTAACTCTCTGAGGGGCAGGAAAAGGAATTAACTTTTTCAGTAAAACTCTTGTTTTATTTACTATATCAGGTGTTACAATGAAATTGTCTGCGACAATTACACATATTTTGTCCAAGACGTGTGAAAAAAAACTGATCGCTTCAGGTGGTTAGTGTCAGTGACCAGTACTCACAGATGACAGTATCCCTACAAATGTCTACAGTCAAAAGTCGTTAATTCGGACACCCATAATCCAAACCTCAAAGCTAAAAACTTTCTGCGCATGCGCCGCGTTCAGGCATGCGCATAGGCGTTTACGCATTCGCGTAAGACCTTTTATATATGCTTGTGCGCAAGCGCAGAATACGTTTTCGCGTGCGCGTTTTATGTATAACGGACGGAATAAGCTAAAATTATCTCATTATCTATTTCAGTTAATGTTGATGATTGTGTTGTTCCTTAATTTTGAAATTGGATCCGGCTTATTATTTTTTGCAGACTGTAAGAGCAATACTATAAAAGTAAACTTGAACTTTCGATTATATCAAATAGAATTTTCGATGTTGGAGCTCCCAAACGATATACAAAACGAAAGTATGTTTCGATGTCCATCAAACAAAAAGTGGAATTGCTGCAAAAAATGGATAAAGACATGAAGAAGGTGACAGAGAGGTTAGTGAAAACGAAAAAATTTCGATTGACGAGTTAGTCGGTATTCTCCGCACAGCAATTACGGGACTTGAACAGCGGAACTTTGTAACTGAACAAGAAATTATGTCTGTTTATAGATTTAAAGAGAAAGTATTATCACATAAAACGAAGCAACTTAAACAACTTACATTGAAAGAAATGTTTAATAAAGTAAACAAATAAATATTAAGCTTTTTTTGTAAATTTTGATACCCTTTAGATCATAATTGTTCTTTATTTCATAAATTACGGTTTCATATTTTTAATTTTAGAATTTCTGAATGCCATCTTACGACATTTAACCTCTTCGCGACGGGCGAATCATATATGCATTTCGTACGGACGCATGTGAGGCCCGGGCGGTTCACCCGTGCACTCCTGGAGAACTGGCCAAGTGGACGGGCAGTGCAGATATGCATTTTAAGCTGAAACAATTTTAATAGCCACTAGATGGCACTCTGTGTCCATTACATTTAAACTGAACGTAGTTTTAGTATTCTGACCTTCAGATTGTTTATATTCTGGCTGCTTTTGGTATTTTGGCTTGTCAGCTGTGGCTGGGGAGGGGGGAAATCGTAATGTAAACAAACGCAGGGCTCTTAAATCGCTGCGTGCTAATGAAAACATTCTCGTATCTGATTTATATCCAATTCCTTTTTTATTCTATTTTTTTCCTCTACTTTGTACGGTCTTTTAGGGTTACTGTGCGGAGTTTTTTTTACGTTTGCATTGCCTTCAGATATATTTCCGTTCCTTCGTTTTTATTTCGGAAAGCCTCACCTCCAGTCTATTATGACTGGAAGGAGGCGCTATTTATCAGAGGAAGAATACCCTAGTATGGTTAGGCGAACCATTTACTAACGCAAATGAGAGTACTGATTCATTTTCTAAGGAGTTAAAAAGTGATACTTTTTCTAAGAGTTACAAGGTGATACTTCTCTGTGCTTCGAAATTTACCACGCTCGTTTTCATTTTAAATTTTGTTACTTCTTACTGTAAATAGTCTTTATGTGTTTCTTTTTAATAATTTTAAACTTTATTGATGGATTTTATCAATTAAAACTTTAGAATAATTTGAATAGCTCTTCCGAAAAGTATTATGGAAGATAAGCAATTTTTTAAGTATTATTTCCATGTAAAATAAAGAAATAAATATTTTAAGGGCTAATTTTAACATATATAAGAGCTCAAGTAATAATCTAAAATGATACCAAAAATTACGATGCTAGAAGCGAAACTTTTGTTTTTCTGATTTTTGTTATAAAATTAGGATTAACAATGCAAAACCTCCGTCCTGTACTGTGACTGCCTTCGATTCTCTTCCGTCCCGCACGAGCGTTTTAAACAAAGTTGCGCCGTCGCGAAAAGGTTAAACTGATGATCTATAATCCGGAATCGCCGAAGTCTTGACGAGTCCGGATTAACGACTTTTGACTGTATATGGTACACAGTTTTTCTTTTTCAAGCACAGTGCAACTTTGCATGTTCTGCATTCCCACATTGTTCTTACAGGCCTTTTTCTTGGTGTACTGCAGAGTGCACATCGTCCTGATGTTGTCTTCAATGACTGATGCTTATTTTCTTGAAGGCGAATTACTGCATCAACTACTAGCTTATGTTTCTTGATTGCCATCTAGTCTTCTTGAACTACAAGGGATTTTTAGAAATGGTCAGTCTTGAATACCACTCACAAGAGTGAGTAAGACATTCAATAGAAAAGGTGGTTACTGCACCAACCTGCAAAGAGTTAAAGGGCGACTGGGGATTAGGGCTACCAGTCGACAAATCCTTGGTGGTGAAGAATAATCATCCACTACCTTTTATTCGGGTGCCACTGTACAGTCATTGGGATTTTTTTAAACAGAAGACATGAATAATGAGCAATGCCATCGCCAGGACTCGAACCTGGACCTCTCTAATACGCGGCAAGTATGCTAACCATTATACCACGAAGGCATGCAGAAGGGAGGGAGAAAATTCCCTATACATTTTCAAAATGCTAAATAGGCACGACACGAATGAGATTTTAAAATCCTACCATTGTCTTCTTTTTTTTTTTTTTTTTTTTTTTAAATCCACTTCAGTGTATTGTATAGCTAGTGAAAAGTTTATGTCAGATATGAACCTCTTTTTCACTAAAAACTTTGATCCTCTGAATGCGACTCGCTCGCAAAAACAATAGTTTTGTTTTTGAATTAAAATTGCATTTTAAATTAGAAATCGCGAAACAACACGCTTTTTTTATTTTTAAATTGTATTATGTGTTATAATAATTTAATTTAAAACCATCAAAGTAAAAATAAAAATAGAAAATAATTCCATTTCTGCGAATTACTAATGCAGCATTTTTTTAAAATTTATTTTTGCTTCCTTGTACGAAGTAAAGGAAGCAAAAATAAATCTGGTATCATATTTCGATGAAAATATCTGTATGTAAGGACAGAATAAAGAACTCTTTTTCCCGAAATGGGTTGCAAAATATATTTTAAAAAGGATTCAGAACAGACTTCCTCCTGTCATACGTATGTATGTCGCATAACTCATAAACCAGTAGCCTCAGAACATTGAAATTTTATATACAAAACTGCTGTAACATGTAGTTGTGGACCTCGCTTTTTGTTTGCAATCAGCCACACCAAAAGTATACAAATAGATAAATATATGTATAGTATATATATATCCACTCTGTTATTCGTCTCAGTGAGCTCAGTTTTCTGCTTCCTTGTGCGAAGTAAAAAGGAAGTATTGTAATCGCAAAAAAATTCCGAGTATCATATTTCAACGAAAATATCCATTTTGACCTCTATTGAATGCAATTTAACGATATTTTTGCATGACATCCTTATGAAAGAACAGAATAAAGAACTCTTTTTCCAAAAAAAAAATTATAAAACTGATTTAAAATGAATTCTGAAGAGATTTTTTTCGTGGCATCTGTACGTACCTATGTATGCATGTATGTATCTCGTATAACTCAAAAACGAGTACCCTCAGAATGTTGAAATTTTGTATATAGGACTCCTATAACATGTAGATGTGCAGCTTTCTTTTAGATTGCAATCGACCGCACCAAAGTCCCCGTTAAAACATTATTAACATTTTGCTTTCAAATTACTTCAAAACATCTTTCAAAATATAACTTACCAGTATGGATGCACACTTTTAAAATAATTCTACTTTAATTAAACTTAGGAGATAATATAATCAATTAATCAATACGGTTTAGGAAATAAATTATTATTAACTAACTTTTGCAGCAATTGCGCAAGTAAATAACTTGTATTCGCACTAAATGGATTTAAGTTCATACAACATATATGTATATATATATATATCCACTTTGTTACTCGGCTCAGTGAGCTCAGTTTCTTTATTCTTATATGTTTGTAAATTGTGGATTTTTTTGCTTTAAAAATGATTGAATTATGTTGATATTGTCTTCCAGTTAAGGCTTTTATGCCTTTATTCAATCTGCATGCAATAGTTGCAGGATTATCAACAGCTTAAAAGTTGTTTAACTGCGGCTAATACTTTTTTTTTTTTTTTTAAACCATAGCAAGCATATTTGTTTACATTTGAAACTTAGCAGAATAGTGAATTCAATTTCTGCATCTTCAGTGTCTTTTTGCCGAGTGGGACCAAAAGTAAACATTCAGTTTGGAAAACCGAAAAATCTGCCTTCTTGCGAGCTGGCCAAATTGCTCCCCTCCCTTTTTTTTTTTTTTTTTTTAGAAATTCTAATTTTTATTTTAAAATTGTTTGTATTGTTTAACTGTATTTGGTGTTTTCTATTTTCTATATCTTTCATTTTTAATAAAGATATTTTGAGGTTTTATGTATTTTTGCATTGTTGCTAACTGAGAACAGAATTAATTGAATGAAAAAAAATCTATCTCTAATGAAATTCGATGAAATAAGTTTAAATGAAAAGCAGGAAAAAATGTTTATAATTTAATATTCAATACAAGGAAGTCATATGCTGTACACATCAGGCTTTTTTTCATTTTAAAATTTAAATGTTTTTTTTTTTCAACTCATTATAAATTACATTATGTATATGCAGAAAATTATTAATTGATTAAAGTTTATTAATTTATGACAGCTTACACAGCTTCAGCAATAATATTTTACCATATTTAATATTAGCTTCCTTTGTGTTGCATTAAAAAATAAAGGATTAACTTGTTTGAGATTTAACATGACAGAAATGCTGTAGTAGTGATATTTTATTTCAGGACGTGTGTTTTCTTTCTTGGCAACATGTGAAGCTATCGTTCCTTTGATGGCGAGTGGCATTATCGCCAAAGTCTTCAATGCTACTATCAGGACATTCCCTGGAGCTTGTTTTCTAGTAGCTACCGTTTTTCTGATGCTACCTCTCGGAACTTTTGTGTAAGGAACTGTTTTTATTTTTTTTAATTCTGTCGTTAATTAAGAAAATTCATTAAAAAACTGTACATTTGAAGTTTTACAATGAAAAAAAAATTTTTTTTAAATCTGAAACCTTTCATATTTTAAATTACATTCAAAGGTGGCACTTTTTTAACATTTTGTCTGTTACCTTTATTTATTAAATACCACATTCTTTGCACTTAAGCCATAAAATTCAGTTCAAGAGCAATATCGCGAAACAGTTTTAAATTCATCATATCTTTAGAATTTTTGATCATATCTTTAGAATTATGCAGTCTCGCGCGTTGGAGATAAAAGTGTTTTTTCTGTACAACGTTGCCATCGCTTGCTTTGAAATCCTTCAGTTTGTTAATCAAAAATTCGTTAATGTTTTACAAAATAGGAAATCGATAATAAAACAAATTTTTAATTTGGGTTTCCGAATGCCCATATTCACAGTAAGATTGGTTACATCATTCAAAATTCCATGGCTCTAGATAATGCTGTTTTTTCACAATGTGTGCAGGACTCTAACATTTGGTGGAAACAGTTTGAAAAGTGAAGCGGACGTTTATAGTGGACGCAAAATCGCAAAACGGAAACATTAGTCCTTCAGGGACTAAGCCCCTTTGAACTAATAATAAATAGCATTACCAAACGTTAAATACATTATTCCTGATTCCAAAAATTTGCAGGAAGCCATTTCGAGTATTCCCATCTTTGCACGACTGTAATCAGCCGAGATATTAATTAAAAACACCAAAAAGGCGGGAAAATACTAATTTCTGTGCTCATTTTTCCAAGTGGCAACAGTCTCGCGCACTAGAGATAAAAATTCTTTATTTTGGAAAGTGTTGCTATTGCTCACTTTCAAATTGTAGAGTCTGTCAATAAAAATTCTGTAAGTTTTACAAAATCTATATATGTAAAGAAGAATGTTTGTGTGTTTGTTTGTTCGCGTTTTGGATTTCTGATCTTTTATGATTCATTTTTTGCCACACTGAATCGACTAAAATTAAATATATAGGTGAAATATTGAATAGAACTGGAGCTTTTACGACCATTTGATTAGAAACACAAAAATCATTCAAAACTGTGTGCCATTGTTGCTTATATAATGAGCTAGAATCAGTTTAATTTTTCTATCGAAATTTTTTATGTGGTTTCCATATCGCATTGGACTGAAAAATATATGACTATGAATCGTATTTTTTGCACCATTATTAGAGAAGGATTACTGTGGTATCATTCTCTCTGGGCCCAGCAGCAGCTGAGCGGTAAAGTCACTGTACACTGGTAGTTCGGTCCAAGGTTCGAATCCCGCGAACGGGCTGGCTGCATGAGGATTTTCGTGGTTTTTCCCATGTGTAACGAGTATTCAAGCCAATTCTCCTTAGAAAGCCCTCCACGAAGGCATCCCTCTCCTTAGGCAGATAGCCCTGGTGTACTTTGCCATAATTAAATAAATAAACCAAAACCAAAAACCATTCTCTCTGTTGTTAGATGTATTACTTTCAATCTAACTTAACTGGCATTGGGTCTTCCGCAAGTTACAATATAAAGTTTAATTTACAGATTTTTCAAAAATCAACTAAATGTTTAAAACAAATTAGTAAAATGTTTTATGAAAAATTACGTAATGTAGTATGTAAGTAATAAATACAGCTGCATAAAGGGGCAAACAAAAGCATTGGCCATAATTATTTATCCATATTACAATATTACATTAAATGTTCCATATGCATGAATTTTATTGTTATTATTATTTTAGGTGGCAACTGAAGTACCGTGTTCCTCGGGAAGATTCTGCCTTGAAAGAAGCTTGAATTATTCTCTTCAGCAAAAGCAGTGTTCGAGGAATATCTAAAAAATCGTATCGCAATATTTCCTTTGTTCTGGCGAAAACATTCCTATCAAAAGAATGATTAAAATTTACATATCAGCCTATTGCTTATACAAGATATAACATTTAACATGTGTTATTTATTAACTCCCAACAATTCTTCTATTTTTCTTACAATTTTTTGGTTTACATTTGAAAAACAGATAAAAGTGCAATTTGAGGTATCGTATATTTTGATAATTTTTAAACAGTGAAATTAAATTATTGCTTACCTAGTAAACCTTGATCTTTTTTTAAAAAACAAAGATGTTTTAAGAAAAATGTATGTAATAAAGATACAATTATCATGTTAGTTTTGTATATCAGAATGTGTGCAATGAGACGCATAGTGTACTTTTTTTGGCCCGAAGTATTACTTTCTGATGTGATATATTAAAGAATCTTAAATGAGAAATTCTCGTGAGTAAATGGAGCTAAAGGACAGAAGAACCTAAAAGAGTCTGGGCCTAATCATATGGTTCTATTTCTCTGTAATACCTCGCATTTTGATATATTTTTATATATTTGTTTACATTACAGTATTAGATTTTCAACTTCATTGTATGTATGTAACAGTACTATGAAAATAACATTCCTTTACATGTGGATATGTGTATTTTTAGCTTATTTTGAAAATCCTTGATATTGTGTATTCTATTTTATACTTTTATTCATGTTGGTGTTTTATATATAGCCATTAAAATTACTTTGTATACATTTTTGTTTTACATCACAATAAAAGATCCAAGAACTATATAGTTTTGTTTATTATTTTGTACTGTTATTTTTATTTTCACTTTATCAATAATTATCAAAATTACATTTTATATGTTTTTAATTTACTTCATATTGAAAAGATCAAAGAACTCTCATTCCAATTTTTTGCATGAAATAAATAAATAATTATGCAGATTTATGAAGACTGTATACTATTCCTCCAGTACTTTCCCAACCTGATACAAAATAAGATTACGATAATCATTCCTTTGTGGACACATTAGGTTTTTTCGAAGCAATGACCTTCCCGGGACTCGAACCACAGACATCTTGAATACGCACAGAGCATGCTGACCATTGCACCACAACGGCATGCTAAGAAGGTGGGAGAAATACCGTATATATTTTTCCTTTTAAAGGGCGACTGGGGATTAGGGGACCCAATTGCCAAACCTGGTAGTGTAGAATCATCATCTACCACCTGTTTTAGTTCGTGCATCACTGTAGAGACATTAGGTTATTTCGAAGCAGAAGACATGAAAAATAAGCAGTGCCCTACCCGGGATTCTAACCACGGCACCTCTCGAATATGCGCCGAGCATGCTGACCATTACACCAAAAAGGTGGGAGAAATGCCGTTATATACCCCTCCTTTTACAGGGCAGGGCGACTGCCAAATCCTGGTGGTAGAGAACCATCATCCACCACCTTTTTTAGTTCGGGCGTCACTGTAGGTTACTTCGAAGCAGGAGACATGAAAAATGAGCAATGCCCTTGCTAGGACTCGAATGCATGCTGACCATTACACAACGAAGGCATGCTAAGAAGGCGCCCCCCACATTTTAGTCCAAAGGGGTATTAATTTTGTTTTGGCATTTTATGTCGGTTCACTTTTCAAATTGTTGCCACCAACTATTAGAGCCTTGTACTATATTTAAAGAAATGAAATAATGAAGAATCTGCATGAATGGATGTATGCTTCTCGCATTGTGAAAAAACAACAGTACCTAGAGCCATCCAATTTTGAATAACGTAGTCCTCCAACCAAACATGGGTACTTGGAAGCTCAAATTTTGAATTTCGAATTTGCTTTATTACCTTTTTTAAATTTTGTAAAATTTTAGCAAATTCTTGATTAACAAAGTCAATGATGTGAAAGCGAGCAACGGCAACACTATACGAAAAAATGCGCAAGACTGTGTATTGGAAATTCTAAAGTTATGCTGTTTTTAAATATTTTGTGATATTGCTGTTGCGAAGTTGCCAACTCTCCCAACTTAGGCGGGAGATTTCCGATTTTTGACCGCTCTCCCGCCAAACCGATTTATGATATATTTCTCCCGACTTTTTCTTATTCTAATTTCTCACGGTTCTTATGGAACTTGGCTTAATACTTCATTATATGAACAACCAAAAAAAAATGCATTTTGGATGTCTGAAAGCAATTGAATTTTCTCTAGATTATATCTAAAATAAAGAATATTTTTTGAAGAACGAATATTTATGTTTTTTCTTCGGATCTTAACAAAGCTTTTTTTTTTTTTTTTTTTTTTTTTTTTTTTTTTTTTTTTTGCAATTCATTTTGCCATCATTCGATGTACTTAACACAGTTCTACAAAGCAGAATTCCATAAATTCATGTTTTGAAATCAATGATTTATGATCTGTTTCAAGAGATTTTATCAAAGTTTGTAAAACCAGTCTGTGTTTTGTCTTGTAATTCTGTATATGATGTGATTTATTGTGAAATAGATAATCAGAAGAAAGATGAAGATTTGATATTAGGAGCTGCAACTACAAAAGTAGTGGAAGAACTTTCAGACAAAAATTAGTTTTATCTTCATGTTAGAAGTTACTTCTGTCGAGTATGCGATTACATACTACATAAAATTTCCAGTCAACGATGAAGTGATTTTGCATGCTAAAGTTGCTGATATTTCTGCTCTAGCAAATGCATCTTTTTCTAATACTATAAGGTACTTTTTGAACACATTTCCTATGTTACTTCATTTAGTCATGAAAGATGATGATATTGATGTTGCCACTGATAATACTGCAGTCGTAATTTTGCAGTTTACGATTAGAAAACTTGGAGGAAGTTATAAAGATCAGCTAGGATTGACACCTAGTGGAGTTTAATTGGAAAACTGAAAGGTGCTGATGGAATTTTAAAATATAGTGAACTGTCTAGAATTATGTTGGCCATCTTGACAGTTCTCCATAGTAATGCAGAGTGTGAGAGGATTTTCAGTGTTGTTGCGAAAACGAGGACTAAATTTAGATCTAATATTAGTGATGACACATTAGAAAAACTTTTATTAGCGAAAGTAGGCCTATGTGGCAATGCTATGAACAAAATTATGAAGTTTTTCTTAACGAAAGCAAAAATCTTCCACTGTTCATAACATTTGTACGAAAGCTGAAAATGTCCCCCCCCCCTTTTTTTTTTTTTTGGTTTGTTTTCTTAAACGATGCAAGGAATAAAAATTTTTTATGTTGTAAGGTATTTTGTGTGCTTGCATAGGAATAGTAAACGATTTAAAGTTTAATTATTAAAACATATTTTATCATTTAAAAAGTCCTTTTAACATTGTGAAAAATCTCCTGATTTTTGAGTGTCATAGGTTGGCAAGTATACTGTTGAATTGAATTTTATGTGGTTTAAGTTCGAAGAACATGATATTTAATACATAAAGGTAACTCGCAAAACGTGAAAAGAAACACCCTTTTGGGCATAATATCAAACTGAAAGCTTTTAGATTTTTTTTAAGTTCTTACTATTAGCTCACACTCTCCCTATATCTTGTTCAAATTTTGAATCTTTAATAAAATACTTTTTATTTATCCACTCAAGTTCAAATACATTTTTTTTTAAACTTGAGTGGATGACACTTGATATAATATTTTTCCACAATTAAATTTCTTAAAATTTTTAATTTAAAACTGTTTTTTTTTTTTGTATTTAAAATTTTTCTTTGTTGACTTCAATCGTTAATAAAATACTTTGTATTCATCCACTCAAATTCAAATACATTTTTTTTTAAATTGTAGGGATGGACACGTGATATAATACAGTTTCCACAAATAAAATTTCTTAATTTAAAAACTTTTTTTTTTAATTAAAAATTTTTCTTTGTTGACTTCAATCAGGAAAAAATACTTGTATTCATCCACTCAATTCAAATACATTTTTTTTAACTTGTAGTGGAGACACGTGATGTTAATACAGTTCTTTCACATATTAAATTATTTTATTTTTATTTATTATTATTTTATTTATTTATTTTTTACTATTTTTTAAATTTGTTGACCTAAGTAAGAATGACTTAATCTTTATTTTATTTTATTTTATTTATTTATTTATTTTAATATTGTTTTTCTTGCCCTTACTACACAGGTTGGAAAGGAATTTTTGCTCTTAGTTATGTTTAAGGAAGTTAGAAGACTTTGTTAGAAGTTTTAGTATATTTTGCATAAAAATTCAGGCAACATTGCATAGATTTTTCACACAGTGATTCTTCAGTGTTGTCTTCATCAGTGTGCCTATAGAGTTTCTTTATTTTCATCTGACTCAACGAGGTCGTGCTCATAAAAATAAATCTGTTTCATGTAGTTTGCAATAACAATAGGAAAATATAATTGAAATAATTGCCGTATATATTCAGTTTCCTGGTTCTCAAGGTATTAAAATGTCTTTTTGAATTTCAGTTTCTGATTGAGAAATCATAGGGCAATTCCAGGGAATCCCAGAGATCAAATAGATTTAGTTTTAGACATTTAAGTCTACAGTCAAAAGTCGTTAATTCGGACACCCATAATTCGAATGATCTATAATCGGACCTCAAAACTAAAAACTTTCTGCGATGCGCGCGCGGTTGACCACATGCGCATAGGCGTTTACGCGTGCGCGTAAGACTTTTACGACTGCGCATTTGCGTGTGCGCAAGCGCAGAATACGTTTTCGCGTGCGCGTTTTATGTAACGGACGGTTAAGCTAAAATTATCTAATTATTCTTCAGTTAATGTTGATGATTGCGTTGTTCCTTAATTTTCGAATTGGATCGGCTTATTATTTTTTGCAGACTGTAAGAGCAATACTAAAAGTAAACTTGAACTTTCGATTATGTCAATAGAATTTTGATTCTGGAGCTCCCAAAGGATCGTACAAAACGAAAGTATGTTTCGATGTCCCTCAAACAAAAAGTGGAATTGCTGCAAAAAATGGATAAAGACATGAAGATTGTGACAGAGAGCTTAGTGAAAACGAAAAAATTTCGATTGACTAGTTAGTCTGTATTCTCGGCACAGCAATTAACGAGACTTGAACAGCGGAACTTTGTAAGTGAACAAAAAATTATGTCTGTTTATAGAATTAAAGAGAAAGTATTATCACATAAAACGAAGCAACTTAAACAACTTACATTGAAAGAAATGTTTAATAAAGTAAACAAATAAATATTAAGCTGTTTTTTTGTAAATTTTGATACCCTTTAGATCATAATTGTTCTTTATTTCATAAATTACGGTTTTTCATATTTTTAATTTAGACTTTCTGCATGCCATCTTACAAGATGTAAACTGATGATCTATAATCCGGAAAAATCGATAATCCGGAATCGCCGAAGTCCCGACGAGTCCGGATTAATGACTTTTGACTGTAATCATCTTTATGCTGTGAACAAGGCTTTTGTGAAAGTTCAAATTAACTGTGAGATGATAAGAAGAGAGAATAGAAGAAACAACAAATCTAATGACATACAGGTTAACCTTCATTAAGTCTGCCATGCCACTGTATAGAGCGGGCATGGCCAAACTGCGGCTCTCCGACACCCTTACTGCAGCTCCCAAGCCACTTGCTGCTCTTTGCTCTGTGCAATACGACTATCTTGCAATGAACAGTAGTTTAGTTTTTAGCCCTAAGGGCGTTAATCCAGAAGGGCTTTTAATTTCGTTTTGGCATTTCACTTTTCAAATTGTTGCCAAAAATAAATCTAAAAAAATGGCGAATTTTATTTGGAATGAACCTAAATTTCGAAAT